CCGGTAGCGGTCTGAAAATGAATGGCGATTCCTTTGGAACTAAAATAGTTTTTATTACGAGGAGAAAAAATAATTCAACTGAACTCCAAATTCCTCTGTTTTAAAAAGAAAACTGGAGGGGGAAGCACTGTGGTGTGTGTGGTTTGACCTGAGGAAGAGAATGGCACTTCTACGGTGCTTAGAAATTTTCCATACGCGATCACGGTACCTGGAATGCTGGGGAAATGACTTGTTATGGATAGTTGAGATGCTCAGCTGTAACCAGCGAGTCTGCTTTGTTTCATCTTTTGTTTAAAATCTTTGAATTAATACGACTTGTTCTTCCACCTCAGGAAGTAGTGTATAGAGCAGTGCTGTCTAATAAAACTCTTGGTGGTGATGGAAATGTTCTGTGTCCGCGCTGTCCAGTATGGTAGCCACTGGCCTCATGTGGCCTTTTAGCCCTTACAATATACTTAGCGTGACTGAGGAACCGAAATTTAAATTTTATTTACTCTTAATTCTTTTAAACTTGGACAGCCACATGGGGATACATACCGATCAGGGCAAATATAGACTATAATTAGCACTTAGTAGATGTCTCTGACTTCAGATATTCCGTGGCATTATCATCCTACAAAATGTGAACTTTGAACTGGAAAAGGCAACAACTCTTCACTGTCTCTGACAAAGTGAAGATTCCTTCCGGGTAACCCTTTCAACCTCTGTCTTCAACGCATGCCGTCAAGAGAGGTGGTCGCGTGCCATCAAGATAGGTGGTTCTGGAAATACAGCCCGAAAATTAGTTTGTGAGGTTGCACTTTCCTTTCCCCTTTCTAACATGTGAGCTGTGAGCATTTTCTGGTTAATCGGAGTCGTTATTTGATTGAGGCTCTTCAGATGATCCAGACCTGATGTCATTAAACATGGGAGAGAAAAAAAGTACATTATGGCCAGCTGAAGCCCAAAAGTGAAATGAGATAATTGATGATTTTTAAGTTAGAATAGTCCAGGCATTATTGGAATCAAAAGAAGAACCATTAATGTGAAAAGTCGCTGTAACACCCACCTCTTAAAAGGGTTTAGGGCTTAGCTCTTGTGTTTGACCTTTGACCGGCCTGCTCTTTGAACCCAGTTAACCTTTGGCAGAATTTCAGCAGGAGCTATTCTGATGGTCATTTTTCTGTTATTTTTTATTTTTCTGTTGTTTTCTGGTCATTTCGCTATTTAATTGTATATGTGCCATTTCTAATTCTTCTTTCTTCATCCTATAATGCTCATCTCTTTTCTGGTGTCTGATATTGTTGTTCGTTTTTGTTCCTGCTAAAGCCGATAGTTCCTTTCCCTTTGCCCTTCTTTGGCCAGAATGTTTCTCTGAAAACATCAGGTACACGTGAAGTCATTTCTACTTGGAGTTTACCTGAAGGGGAACCACCAAGATCCCAAGCTGACATCAAAGGGAGCTGAAGGAAGAAGATGTGTCTGGATTGTAACAGAAGAAAAGGAGGGAAAGTGTTTCAAGCATTTAATGTGATTCTGATTACAGAAGTAACTTATGTTTACTGTGGAAAAATTGGATCTTTGTATAGACAGCTACTTCTCCTTCCTAGTTTTTGTCTGTGCATCTTTATGTCTATGTGTTTAAATCACCTCTGTGCTATGGTCGTGTGTAATATGCACATATGATAGATGGTCTTGGTCTTGAATTTTAGTTTATCGCATTTTCTCCACCAATAAATTTTCTTCTAAGGCAACCTTTTTTCCCATTATTCCTTCAGCTAGATGTAAGAAAATTTAAGTGAGGTACAGTCTCTCATGGTATAAATAATGTTGTAGTCAACATCTTTGCGCATATCTTTTCACACACTTTGATGACTCTCTGAGGTAATTCCTAGACATGTATTTGCAACCCCCCAAAAATGATGCATCTTGAGGTCCTCACCAACAAAGGGTGAATGAGGGCAGAGCAGATTGCAGATTTCCTAGTGACCTGAACGTGGGTAGGACAAGATAAGAGTTGCCTTGAGATGGTTTCCTCGATTTCATCTGGCTCGTTAGCTCAATTTCAAAGACATTGCACAGCTTTGTAGATAGTCTACTTTTGGTTTTTTCCTGATTTAAGAATTCTTCGCGTATAAGTTTGGGTTTATTGGTGCATTTATGGTTACTACTGCTATTTGTTTTAGACTGTACTTTGAGTCTTGGTCATTAGTATCTAGAGAATTTCTTCCATATTTTACTCAAATACATACAACGTTGGGCAGCTGACTAAGCCTGAGTTCTAATGAATTAGAAACGCTCTGTTTTCTTCAGTTTACATCAGCTATGTTCCACTATGTGGTGATAGCCATGTACACCTACATGTCAGAATTTTGTCAGTTGCAGCCATCTGCCACAGCTGGGGCGTCAGGAAATTAAATAGTCTCAGAACAATAGTGGAACTTCCAGAATAACAATTTCATGGCCAGCGTACTTCATTTTCTTATGGAGAACATGTATACAAAGTAAGCTACATATTAAAAGATGCATGTGTATACGTGTGTGTGTGTATATATATATATATGTATATATATATATAGACCATCAAGGAGATGCTATGTTGTGGTTAATATACACTGTTTAATAGAGTGGAATAATATCCATTGTAGCCTACCATGCAAATGATGATATTAAAATACCTGTTTGGGAATTGAATACACAAGTTTCTATTTCTCATAAAGCTAACTTATGCAGTATATCTCATATCTTATATACTCATATATCTTATGCAGTATATCTCATTCCATAGGGAATAGTCTTCAGAGTCCAAAGCTTGACTTTTTTCCTGTAATTCAAAATGTGATTTGAATATATGTGTGTGTGTGTGTGTGTGTGTGTGTGTGTAATTTGACTCATTATAAAAGAATTATTTTGTCAATGACTTTTCCAGAGAATCCTCTTATATCAGAAAAGTTGAAAGCAACTCCAGTCTGACTCCAGAGTTTGTGTTTTTTCCAATATCACACATAGTCTCCAAGTAACATCATCCTTTACACCCTTTAAATGTTTCTCAGTAGAAATAAATGTAATGGCAATATGTTCATGAACTGTGAAAGGCAAAGTGTGTAGGGAGGCATAGATTTTGGAGAATATACCAGGATATATGTCTCTGTCTATCTATTGGAATTTTTTCAGGAAAATCATTGACAAAATAATTCTTAGTTCTGTCCGTATAAGCTTTACATTTTTGGAAGAGAGTTTGCTGGCATGATATAAACAATGGGGCTCCTGATATTGGTGTCATGACCCACTAATCATTTGTGACCCACAGTTGAAAAACACCAGGATGGAAATAGAATGCGTCATCCGTCTAGGGGTAGATGATTCCAGGGCTGGTTAATTCAGGGACACAATGATGCCACCAAAGACTTAGGGGCTTTATATCTTTCCACTTGTCCCTCCTGGTCATAATATGGCAGGCACAGCTCCAGGCATCATACCCTCAAACAAGTAGATCCAAGGACAGAAGAGAGAGCATTTTTCCCCAGAAGCTCTTCCTCTCCTAGAAGACTTTCCTTTTGGCCCCATTCATTGTTCAGGTTCCATCACAACCCATCCCTAAACCAGTCGCTAGCAAGAGGAATAGATGTATATTTGGAATTGATGGATATGGTATGTTATAGTAATTGATGCCATAACTGTCATGGAGAAGTGAGCACACATTCCCTGAGCCAGGGGAGGACCTCATCTGTCCTGAACTTGTGGAAGGCCGGATGCTTGGAGTAATTCCAGCTTTGCCAACAAGGAATGAGTGGTAAGGAAAGCTGTTGCACAGCTAGCTAAGGAAGGCTGCCATTTTTGCCAGGAGATTTTGACTATAATCCTGTCATAGCGTCAGTGCTGCTAGGCATCCTCTTATGAGTATTTCTGAGCTTGTTTCAGCCCTTTGGTATGTTCTAGATTCCTTAAGGATGGGGAAACTTACTGTTTTTACCAGGGTATGGAATTGTGCCTTACCCTAAAGGGAGATAAATAAATATTTACTAAATTGATTGGAATTGGCTCATGAGAATCGATGAAAAGTTTTCTTACTTTTTTTATGGGATCTAAATTCTTTTAAATCAAGGTGGTTTTTTTTTTTTTGTTTAAATATCAAGACCCTCCCAGTAAAATTATGTTTACTCATTCCAGAAAATGATTAAGGAGCCTTGATCATAAAGGTACTGGAATAAAGTTACTGTGGGTGCTGTGTAATGTAAACGCTAAAAAGATTGTTTACAATTCTGTGTGGGTGTAGGAGGAAAAAAGGATTCAAATATAAATATGAGTGGGAAAGAAAACTTGTTTGAGTCCATTTTATGCATCTGTTAACATTTCGAAGACTATACAGAACAGTTTATCATCTTAAAAATTATTAAGTGAAAGAAATGGCTTGTATACGAAATTCACTGTGATTCTCTATTTGAAGCTCCATTTAATAAAATTTTTCTTAGGAAAACTAATTACCCCAACAATTTAAAATTCAGTACCTTATTGTACATATCACATAATTTCACTTTAAAAAAACCTTTTTCGGTAGAATGAGATCAAAAGATCGGATTTTGGTTACTAATGTGGTGTGAAGTATAAAGCCAGCGTTCCAAGTCTTATATCTGTTTTGTAATATAAACATTTCTCAAGAGCTTATTTTTTTTCAATTTGAAGAATTCTGCATATAAACCTCCTTTCATTTGGTTCAGGTTTAGTGACTATACATGTTCATAAGTTTTCACTTTATCTACTATTATAACTACTGTATGAACTTCTGGGAGTTTTTTTGTAATGTTTTGAGATTGTATGAATTCTCTCGAAAAGGGAAAACCTTATTCAAGAATAGCCATTTAAGATAAGTTCTCTGAAGTGACCCGAAATTTTAAGCTTCAATCAGCACAAAGACATGGATGATTTTTAAACCATTTTATTGTTTGCTAAAGGTACTGATTTTTAGTTACAGCTTTTACTAAGTGAAGTGATGGCAGGCGAAATTCATCGTTTTCTTGTGTCATTTTGAAAGCACCTGAAGTGTTTCCTTCAGTTCTCTTCCCATTTTCTGATCTCTTAATCCTGAAAATTGATAACAAAAGGACGAATCAAAATAATTTACAAATATTCCTAGTGAGTATCATTTATATCACATGTGTGGCTTCAGTTTTGCCAAAGCAATGCACAACCATTTAAATTGAACTCTGTAATATTCAGAGTTTCTTTGTTATCTCCTTGTCATTAGGTGGGAGGTATCCAGAATGGACAACCCTGCCTTCAGGACACCGACAGCTATTATTTAACAATAAACTAATAGTAGCTACCCTTTACTGAGTGCTTCCTGCCTGCCAGGCTCTGAGTTCATCACTTGATTTTAATTTTCTGCAAAATAACCCTAAGAAGCTATCAGTATTTATACTCCGATCGTACACAGGACTTTTAAAGTTTTAAAGACTACCTTTCCATAAATAGCTCTGCCAAGATGTGAACACATTATAAAGTTCTTGGCTTTAATCATTAATAAAGAGATAAATAAATGCATTTTCTGTACAGAGGGAACGTTACCTTAGGCTAGTAATCAACTATAGGCACCAAATTATTTGGGATACGATTTCAAATATCCTGCCCCATTCTCTCCATAGATATGCTCATAATTGTGAAGCCATATATGGCATATACTATAATTTTTTGTGAGGAAAGTGTGGCAGTTGCACTTGGACAGAGGGTCGAAATTATCTGAGTTAGTCACTTTCTCTTATTTTCAAAAAGGGAAAACACCCGTGGATTTGAAGTAACTTATACAATACTGTTTCCTCTTTGGAAGCAGAGCCAGAACTGGAACCTGGGTGTACTAGCTCCCCACCCAGGTCATTTCCATCTCACCCCTCACTGTTCCTCAGGAGAAAATCCTCAGTGGCATTTACAACGTGGAGTTACATTTGGATACCTACATGCAGTAGAATTATATACTCTCATATGCACAGAATAAGGGTTTGGGAATCTGGATATGAGTCATTTATTTTATTGGCTATTTCCCACTCATTTGGAAGAGTTTTCTAAAGATTTGTTTTTAGTATTTTTATTTTATTTCTAGGAGAGAGAGAGAGAGAGAGAGACAGCGTGAGCAGGGGAGGGTCAGAGAGAGAGGGAGACACAGACTCTGAAACAGGCTCCAGGCTCTGAGCTGGCCGTCAGCACAGAGCCCGACGCGGGGCTCAAACCCACGAACTGTGAGATCATGACCTAAGCGAAAGTCAGACGCTTAACCGACTAAGCCACCCAGGCGCCCCATGGAAGAGTTTTCTATAATGCAATTAATTTTGTGCTTAACTGTGAAAACTTCTTGCTAAAAGATTAATCTATAGAACCCAGCTCTGGAAAGGAATCTAATGGACTGGCTAGCTTCCTCCAAATTAGATTTAAAAACCGCTCTAGACAGACAGTCTTCCTTTAAAGAGACTAAAAGGGTCCTCAAAGAGATTTCTCACCTACCTTTTGTAGCCCGTTCAAATATTTGCATCCTCCTCACTCTCAAAAATTACCCCACCTTTGTTTTAATCTTCAGTGCAAATCTGGCCTATTCTTGCTAGTCAGACCCTGGAAATCTAAGGAAAACCGATATTCCCTTATACTGCTATCCTTAAAATTACTGAGTTTCGGTAACATGTATTCTAGGAGAAGTTCAAAATAATCGGAGAACTTAAACCCACCATAAAAACTATGGTCTTAATTACTGAGCCTCATAGATAAACTTGTTTATAATATAAAGTTACAACACACACTTGGACTAATCGAGTCATTGACCTGTAGCTACTGAAACTCGAGAACTTAGAACTCTGGGGGCCAATTTTGCTTTACCATTTTCTCAGATGTTGTAGTGGCTTCACGGGATACTCACCACTTCCTCCCGCTTGGTCTTGTCTGTTGCTGGCCAAGCTTCCAGAGGCAGGTCAGGAAGCATGGGGGGCAGGGGCTGTATGGGGAACATCGGAGGCAAAGGCTGTGGCGGCAGGGGCTGGATGGGGTGCACGGGTGGCTGGGGCTGGATGGGCTGGTGAGGCTGCGGCTGGACGGGCTGGGGCTGGAAGGGCGGCTGGGCAGGCAGAGGGAGGTTTGTCTGGTGGTGTTGGGTTGGAGTCATGGAGTGTTGGCCAGGAACTGGCATCATTGGTTGCTGGGGGACCACGGGCTGCTGAGCTGGCACCATGGGGATGTGGTGATGAGGCTGTAGGGCGTGATTCGGGGGATTCTGCTGGGACAGCACGGGAATGATTTGGTGGTGCAGCCATCCACCCATGGGTTCGTAACCATAGGAAGGGTACTGGTGAGAAACAGAGAGTCAGGTTTACCATTGGCTCCATTGACTTCCAACCGGAGAAGTAGTCATGTTTTCTTTGTCATTATGACTATGCATACTTATGCATTTTTTTCCTGTGCAAGAATTTCTAACTGTGTACACAGATATGACCTTTTACAAACTGGATTTTCCGTTAGTGTCTGTATGTGGCATAGATATGTTATTTCACTTAAAAGGGAATTGAAATACATGCATAATATTTTAAGGGAACGAAGAACGAAAAGGTACATACCGGATGCCTTATCATGTTCTGGTACCACTTCAGAGGGGTAAGCACCTTAAGAAAAAGAGACATTAGAATACATTTGCTTTCATTTAGTTACGTGAAATGCAGACTCACCGATGATGCAGTCCTGTCAATATTAATAGCCTGAAAATGTGAGTTCTGCAGATGAAAGAATAAGGTAAACATTCGGCAGGTGCTTCCTATGTGTTATGCACTACATTACATCCATCACACACAGTTTTCATGTTTCCTCACATACTCTGAGGCAAATATCATCACACTCACTTTTACAGACAAGGTCATGGGGAGTTAAAGACGTTCATGAGCTTGACTGAGGTCACAAAAGTAGTAATTCTGTTTAATTCCACAGCCCCTGCCCTTCTTTGCAAGAGCAAAACAAAACAAAACAAAAAAATTGATGTGATGTAACATTAGTCATATCTTCTTTTGATTTGATGTCACCATGAAAAAGTAAAGGAGGTGGACGAACTGTCCCTCATCCTAGAAACACAGATTTTTCTGGTCTTTTAAAGTTTAACAGAAAATCTTGCCTCAAATTCTTATTAATAACACTTTTCCTCCGTTTATGTATGAGGAAACAGATTCACAAAGTGTCGTCTGAACCTACGAAAGAAGTAAGAGTTTTATTCCATTTTAAACAGTATATACTTGGTTAAAAACCTCAGTTCTGGGGACTCCTTCATGTAGGATTAGTAGTACAGCATGTGATATCAATACAACAAACAATTACTGACCTTGCTCACATTATACTTGACAGGACACCTTTTATACTGTGTAACTATTTTGCTTCTCAAACCGTATTCTCAAGTGTGGGTATCATAATTATTTCCCTTCTCCAGATGAGGAAACCAAAGTTTTAAAGAGAGAAAATGATTTGCCAAAGGTCACGTGGTTAGAATGGGGTTGAGGAGAGCCTCAAACCGGATTTCCAGAAATCTCATGCTTTCCATTGCTCTGCGGAATGTTTCATAGACCACTTGGTCGCTTATCATTGATCTTTCAGCAAAGACAAACAAAGGAGACACGTGGAGCGTGAACATCTTAGAATTAGGAGTTTCTGGCTGGAAAGGATCTTAAATACCATCTTAACCGACTCCCCCACCCTGAGTGGTAGTTCATGATGGATCATTTTATAGCCATATAAGGAGGAGAAACTGAGTCAGAGAGGCCAAGTAGGAGTGTGCTGGGGCAGTGCAGGCTTCAGGCAACCCGTCAGGGCTTAAACCAGGAAGCTCTTAATGGGAACTGAAAAAGTGGGACTGAGAAACATCTTGAACAAAGAATCAACACACTATTCTTTACAGAGCCCAGGGCATCGTTAAGTCAAACAATGGTCAAAATTAGTAAAGAGAAAAATTACCTCATAGCTGAAGTTGATATAACCAGGGTGCCCAGGATGAGGTGGTAGCTTTTATAGAGGGGAAAGGAGAAGAAACAGAAAGAGGGAGAGAAGGGGTGGGGAGAGAGAGAGAGAGGGAGGGAGAGAGAGGAAGAGATTAAGTCAATATGCAATTGTTCACATTAGGAGAGACTGAAGCTACTTTTAAAAAAATCTATATGGTGCAGAATATATTTGAGGTCTACTTTCAGTTGGAACATGAACGCTGTGCAGGAGAGGAGCGCTCTGCTTTTAAAGAGGTCCAGAACAACTAAATGACTTTTCCCAAGACCTGGAAGCAAAACCCAGACACATTTATCCTCCGGTGGTCCGTGACACCCTCCCCCATCCACGCTGTCCATCAGTGCTGCTCTATCCCATCCACCATTTTACGTCTCAGTGCAACTCACTCCGTGTTGGAAAGAGAGGTGTGTTTCTCCTACACAATTATGGAATGCCAACAAGAAGAGGATTGCTGCCCGAACCTTCCCTCGTAGATCAGGCGGTGGAGAAGTGCTTAAGGATCAAAGAGATTTCCTCACAATTGATGCGCAAGGCACGCCCACGACAACAAACGAAACGACTGCCTGTGAATTATGGCCGAACGGGAGATGGGGGCAGTAAGGTGGAAACATGATAACCCCGTGGAAAGTGAAAGAGTTGCTTGGGACTGCTGCTTTTTGTTACTCTGTCAAAGTTGTTACGGTAGAAAGCATGTCAAGTTCAAAATAAAAATCAGCCCGAATAAGGATCTAAACGAGGACTGCTCGTCCCGTCAGAAGTGGGGGCCGTGTGACTGATGACCCCCGCGTTGGACAATTCTGGTTGGCCGTGGGGGGGAGGGGGAGAGGAGAGGGGATCATGCAGAACATCTCCCTCAGACCTCGAGCTAATTAAGTCTCCACTAGTTGTAAATGCTCGCATTTTAGAAGGTTTATTTGCTCTCAGCTGAATGTGAACTACTTTCCTTAGGTCACTGCCTTTCTATACTTTCTTGACATAGCCCTCAGGGAGTAGGGGTGCTGAACTGAGGAGTGAAAAAAGGGCCCGATTTGTAAGGCAGGGGCCCCTCGGGGGACTAGAAATCGCCACAATGCAGGGTTTCAGGAAGGCAGAGCACAGAATCTTGGTCTCGTGGGTGAGAGAGGAAGACAGGAGGCAGATATGCAAGCTTTGCTGGCTTCTGGTTGTATCAACTGTTCCTTATGCCACCGAAAAGCAGTTGGGTCCTGCTTTGCCTGATAGTGATCTAAGCTCTCTGACCTGCTGTACTTATGTCTAAAGGGAATAGGCCCGACTTCCTGGCCCGTGGTACATATGAATGTAAAATATATCCGCGTGCATTGGGCATAGGTAGGGTTCTGGACAACCACATGGAAGCGCCCGTGTGCTTAGCAGGTGCACCCAAAGGGATGCGGCCTCTGACGACAGGAAGAGGGCTCGAAAAAGAAATTCCCAACACAGAAATCATGCCCTCTGAAGGATAACAGCAGCGGAGTGTGGAGGGCAGGAAGAGGGCTGGACACTGGTGAGAAATTGGGTTTTAGAGAAGACTGGCATTCTCGTAGTATTTGGCTCTAAGGCTGATTAAGCATTTTCTCTGGAGGCCTTTCAAGGGTCCCTTCCAAAAGTTTCCTCCATCTAGAGATGGGCGATGATATTTACAAGCTAATTGTTTCCACAGAATCTCCTGAGGTGCTTGTTAAAATGCAGAGTCCTGGGCACTACCCCCACTCCAGCTGTACTGAATCAGAATCTTGGATGGAGACATCTGAATATTCGTTTTGTAACAAGCTCTTCAAAGTGTGTCTTAAACACAGAGACGTTTGAGGACATGTGAGCTTGCACTGTCTTAAACCCTAAAGTTTACCGACTGTGGGGCAGATTTTTATTTCCAAGCTTGTGAAATTGGATATTGACTTATGCAGGGGTGTTTTACTCACGGGCATAGCAATGGCTGCTCCCAGGAGGCAGGCAAACAAAATCCAGGTCCCCATCTCGTGCTGGCCCTGAAACAGAAGTTGACACCTAAATCTCTTTGCAAATATGGACACAATTAATACTCCATAAGCCCCACAAAATCCATATTAGTCTGTCGCTAGTAAAAAGGGTGGGACCGTTCTTGGTGAGGTTACTTCATTCACATGTGATTCCCAGTTCTCAGCTCATTTCATTGCTTTTGGATTCACGATAGTGACAAGGATGCTGCTCACTTAGGTCGAGAGGAGAACAAATCGTAGAGATGTCAATCTATCATTACATGATTTGGTTGCTACTTTCCTATACCTGGGTAGCCTGTGGATTCATAGGAGCTAAATGTAGCATATGATTAACGATCATAAAGAATCGAATTGGATCGAAAAGCTGAGGAGGTCTTCAAGGTGCACAGTATTGGATACTTTGAGAACCAGGACGCACAAAAATGTTTGGGGTTTTTGTGGGTTTTTTTTTTTTTTTTTTTGTACGGTGCACCTGAGCGTTGCTACTGTTAAAAACAAAGACTAATTATCTGAGAAAAGGCATTAAGGAATTTACCAAAATACAGTAAGGAGGGAGTGAAGTTAAGTTCCAGACGTTTCGGCTGGTAAGACTTCAGGCAAGATCTCTGAGCTCCAGATGGGGAGCAAAAGATGTGGTTAAATGGAAGGGAGAGGACAGTATAATACTGTGTGATCATTCCATGAATTTTGAATGACTTCTGCTTGAAAGACTCCATGTTTAGTCAATGACATCTTCCTTTTGTTGGGCACTACACTGTAATTATACGCTTGATGACCCTTGGGACATGAAGCAGAATTGGCCATCCTAAAATAGGCACATCACTTTGTGGTACAAATTATCGACTGTGGAAACTGTCAGAAGAAAGATCTTGAATTTTGCGAAGAAAGTGATTCTCATGTATAATAATGCTGGCTGTAAAAAGTGCACTGATGTGTTCTACCTCCTAAATCTGTTGTTGTTATTGTTGTTGTTGTTGTTTTAGTTTGAATTAATGAGAAAAAAAACACCCACATTTAGTTGCTGGGTCTATTTGATGTAATTAAACAAAATGGCTTTTAAAGTAGTAGATCACAGCCTGTGAAAAATCCTTTTTATCTAAATTGATAAGTAATGAAAATAAAGATTTTGCTGTGAAATTTGGACCCCCAAAGTGCTTTGGGATTCTGGAAGGAAAACTTAGAGACAAACAGACAAACACTTTGCTGCATTAGAAAGTAAAAGAATTCATCTAAGTAATCAGAGTCTAATTTAATTATGGTCTGACTGAAGAAGTAACTGAATATGACAACCTAAAATATTAGAAATACAGCATACATTTGCATCTTTTGTACATGAAATGCAGTAAAGAAAATGAATATGATAGACAGGATACCAAATTATGAATAAAATCCACATACCTTTGAATAGATGTATTCAGAGGAAGTTTCTGTCTGAAACTCAGGGATGCTTGATCCTTTAGATTTCTTCCAACTGAGAGCTCAATTTATATCATCCACAGCATCTAGAACAACCAATCAGATTTCCGAAAGAAAATGTGTTGAGTATAACTAAAAAAAAAAAACCCTGTATCATGAAGTTTTAAAAACTGTGATCAAACAGAAGGCTGCATGTTGTGATTAGTGCATATAGAGTCTTTCATTATGGGCAATAATAGGTTTAACAGGCAAAAAAATTCATTGGGTTGTTTTTAAGTCAGCAAATAAGTTCACTGCACATGCCGATATATTCAAAGTTACTTTCAAGAAGAGCTAGGTCATTGACTGTTCCCTGCTTCTGGCAAACCTAACATCGTTCTTCACCCAAAAAGTTAGATGGTTGAGTTTCTCTAGTGTAATCAACATGTCCCCAGGGTTCATCAGCCCTTTCAGATCAGGATAAGTTGATTCAAACCCCCATTCTGGTAAAACCCCAAAGTTCTCCCCAATATTTCTCTGAGGGATTATAAGTTTGGGATCCCCACTTCTCTATTTTCTACTTCCATCGAATGTATTTTCTCTGTTCCCTGTGGCCATTCCTCTATCGCCACTCTGGTGTCCCCTGAAAGGGGGGATGAAGTCACTTCTCTTTGGCCCCATCCTACAACCCACCTGCTCTCCGAGGAACCATGAACTCAAGATTGTCATGGGAGCAGAATCTTGCTCATGATCTGAAGGTCAAGGCTAGAAATGATGCCACACACCAGACTGCACACTTAGACATTGTGTGTGGGACATTGCTCTGGTTCCCCTGTCCCACATAACAACTCGGCCTCTCTCAGGATGGTGGTCCTTCATGCCCACGTCCTTCTGGCCCGGTCTCACTTCCTCTTAGAAGGAATTGCACATTCCTCTTTCTTTTTCCGAGCCTCTTGACTTCCCGTTTAGATGCTGTTGTTCCCATGTTCTCAGCAACCTCTCCTTTGCCTAAACAACAAAAACCAAAGCTCTCCTCTCTCTCAGAGGACCTATGATATAGCTATTAAATGCATATGTCTTTTACCCTTCCACCTTAGTAAAGGACATGGATTTTTTTTCTTTTTATTCTAGGATCCGATCAGTTAAAAAACAAATCTCTAACTGGTGGTAAGAGGTAGCTGATGAGTTGTCTATCACTATTAGATCAGTAAAGGAAATACTGAATATATACCCAGACGCTATTGGCAGTATAAACAGATCTCTTTTACTACGTAAATAATATTTTTAAAGTTTGTACATGTGTGTATATTTTTATAAACATGCTCCGCATTGGCGGAGTTAAATTCAAGGAGAGAATACCCATGAAAGGCAATAGAGTACTATTAAGAACTACAGCTTAGACTTACATGGGTACTGACCCCAAGGGTTGAGGGACCACTGACAAGATGCTTAGCCTGTTTGAGCCTCAGTTTCCTCGTCAGTAAAATGGGGATAATTATAGAATCTACTTACAAGGATTAGTTGAAAACTAAACGAGAAGCATCTCTGGGGGAAATGGAAAGCTATCACCCTCCCCAACCCCATCACTTGGAGTGCAGTAAATGTTTACAAAATGCTAATAAATAAGATTCTAAGCTGATCTTTACAGATGAATTAGTAGAGACTGAGTAACCATGCTGAAGAAAGGTAGATCTTTCCATCAGAGTTTCAGTCAGAGAGAGAGAGACAGACAGAGACAGACAGAGAAAGAGTGACAGAGATTGCAAAGAAGGAAGTGGAAGATTATAACAGGTGAAAGGTGTGAATGAAAGCAAATATAGAATATAGTCCTAAAAGCCATTTGTGTCCAGGGTTTGCATTTACTTGTGAATATGTTTACTGATGACTTGTATAAGAGGGTTGGCATCAGCTTACTTAGAAGAGGGGAAGAGGTTAGGGGGTTGTGCGGCAAGGCGGCAAGGGAAAGGAGGAGGGAGAGGAAGGGTGATGTAGATCACATCATGTTCTTTTTCAATCTTTTTTTCTTAGTTTATTTAATTACGTATATTGGTGTCTGAGAGGATTCAGGACATGTTTTTCCTGCAAATTTGTGCTTAATCTCCACTAATAGGTTCACTGGTGAACTATTAGTGGTCTTGTAGTTTTACAAGATTTATCTCATTACTTTCTGTCACGTTTCAAGAATGAGAGACTCAAATTTGTTGACAAGGATCAACAGAAAAATCCGCCATTGTGGCGCTAATTTCTCCGGTCCACTGGATAGTGAGTTATAGCCAATTCACTACGGACAGTTGTTCAGGCTTTGATTGCAAATGCAGTAGAAATTATGTGGTTCTTTCTGGTTATTTTCTCCCACTGCATATTCTGAGTCACGGAGTATTAAAATATGGATCTCTCTGCTTGAAATTTCTTCCGCTAATTTAGGTCCCACAAATGCAGTTCAAAAGTTAATGTTTTGGGGAAAAAACAAAATTTCAATTAAAATTTGTTTCTATATGCAGTTATTTCACTTACGAATAAGTTGACTTTGTAAAAAACAAAACAAAACAAAACAACAACAGAATTTACCAGATTGACTGCTTATGTTGTTATGTGGAGGCTATAACATTTCCAAAGTATTTGTGTTCTTGTTTTCCTTGCTCTTTGATGTCAAATAATGTCTTCTCTCTCTTTTTTTTTTTTAAAGTTACTATTTTAAACAGTAGATCATAAGCATAAAATATTTTTCTCTATGGCATCATCTCTGGAAATATATATGCTGAATACCTACGAACCTGAGACCATTCATACTACTATGGGGGACAACCCATATTTCCTCATATTACTATGGGGGACAACCATGTGCATGACTTGAATACTGTTACTAAAAGCTTTTCTCCAAAATGTACACTGAATAAACACCCTTATAAATTATAGGTTCACTTTCTTGCTTAGTGGAAAGGAGGCACATACAAGAAAGGGTTATACAAAAGTCACATTTGGGACACCTTCTGGCCCAGGAACAGCGGCCCTAAATCCTTCCATCTACTCTTTTTGGCACAAATCAAACACCGGATGATTTCTGCCCGCCAGTGGCCGGAGATGAGGAAAGCAACGCGTCAATCCCAGGCAGCGGGAATCTGACACTGTTATGTCCCCTCACTTTGGACCAATTGAATATGTTTAACGAAGAAAGACCATGGTGGCCAAGAGCTCAAGCAGTCTTGAGCTCTGAGAGGAAGCATATCTTAAATGTCTTCACCTCCTGCAATGCCTGGCTTCAAATCATAGACACTCAACAGCAACGCTGCCGCCGCCGATGACAACAACAGATCTCATAGTTATTCTTTCTCTTGACTTGCAACTCATCACATTTTGCTGTTTCCATGTTGCTTATGCTAACAAGTTCTCCCCTTCTAATTTGCTGCTCCTAATTTACAGTGTGCTGGGAAAATCTTACGTTTGAGCTTGTTAGAATTCTGTATGGACTGCAAGTAAAGAGGTGCTCTGAGTGGTGTTGGCTCGGATGCTCACGTGTGAGAAAAGCTCAAGCATTTCAGCCTTGTCATGTTGAGTTTTGACTGTTAGGAGGATGTTTTGTTTTGTTTTGGGGGTTTAATGAA